AATGATAATGGTATTCATAAACTAGGTTGAGTAATCCTACATATTCTTGTTGTTTTAAAAAAATTATATCTCATTTTGTTTAAAACCTGACTAGTACATTTTACTTTTCTGTCAAAGTCCATAACCTCACTAACACTTTTTACTTTTTTGTCAAATTTGAGAACTTGACTAGCACATTTCATTTTTTCTTTTAAAGTCCAAAAATTAATGTCTCTCCCTTTCATTTTATCATCAAAAGTCCATAACCTGATTGACCCTCTTATTTTTTCAAAGGTTCAGAATAGGTCCCCTTTCATTTTATTGTTAAAAGTGCAGAAAATATTTGTCCTTCCTCATTCTTTTTTCAAAGTTTAGGATTTGAATAACACCTTTACACTTCTGACAAAGTCTGGTACTTCACTTGCATCTTTTATTTTCTGCCTAAGTCCAGTATCTGCATGACAACCTTTGTTTTTAGCAAAAGTTCAATGTTGCTTCGTAATTCTTGTTATTATTTGTTAAATACAAACTATCATAAATAAATGTTCCTTTGAGATTCTTTAATGTTGACTTTTTCACATCTAATTATTCGTTACGTCTTTTTTTGCATTTTTTTTATGTACCTTAACATTTTCAAACAAGACTATTTCATATCTTTACTAAATTTTTATAACTCTAATATGAAACTCATCCATATTATTTGAAAACAATTAAGTAAAGAGAGACAACTATGAACAATGCAATTTTGCTTAAAAAAATTATGATATTTTTTTTTATAAAAATATGAATTTTATTATTACAAAAAAGAAATAGAAACAAAGGGTTAAGAAAAAACAAAAATTTATTTTAATAAAATAAAAAAAAATCAGAATTAATTTTTAAAAAAATGAAATATTAAAAATAATTAAACTCTTAAACCAATGTTACTTTATACATGAATCAAGAAATTTTCATATTTTTTACATTTTATGAAAAAACCCTAACATAAAAGGAGAGAGCAACCTTGAAGGAGGGGACTGGAAAAAATTAGAGAGGAGGGGGCTTGTTTGAAAATATAGTGAAGGAGAAAGGTAAAAGGAGGAGAAAGGAAGCAAAACAAATATTAGAGTTTCAAGTAAGTTTTATTATGCATTCTATGATTTTATTTATTTTTATTTTTTGATATATTGATACTTTGAATGAGCATTTCATATATCAAATAATATCATAATTCTAAATAAATAAAAAATTTGTAAACCATCATCATCATCTGTCGTTGCCAACCACTGTAAGCCTCTGCTGGCCACCATTGCCTGTCGTGCTATCGTTAGAGTTCCATTGCTAGCCACCACACTCCTTCACTATGAAAGTTCCTTTCTCCACCATTTTTTTTCTCTTCTTCTCTTTTCTAAATCACGTTACTTTCAACCACCCATTTTTCATTCACCATTCTTTTATCTGAACCACCACTTTCAAACACCCAAGATCCATCACCTCTCCACTCGTCATTTTTCCTCTCTCTCAATCCCTCATCATCTCCAAACACAAAATCTATCATGAAAGTTTCTCTTTTACTCATCCTCGTCTCTCTCTTCTCTCCTCCACTAACTTTCACCACCTAAAATCATGACTTCTATTAACTTCACCTTCACCCTTTTATGACCCCCTTTATTTTCTTGGAGAAAGGCGCACCCCATAACCTTATAATTCTAGACCTCTCAAATTTGAAAATTTTAAAATTTAGACATTTTTGCCCTTTTTTTATTTTATAATTTTTTTGGTCTGAAATTCTTTTTATTTTTTGAATTTTTTTTTATATATTTAGCTCTATATATATTTACTTATTTACTTATTTTAGTTTCAATTTCATTTTCTATTTTCTATTTTTGTTTTTATCATTGTTATTTGTAGTATTACTATTATTAGATTATTATTATTATTATTTTGTCTAAAGAGAGGAATCTTATTATTTTATTTTTACTTTTATTTATTTTATTATTTTTTATTTATGTTAGCATTGCTTAAATAAAAAATATTTGATTTTATTTTAGCTTTCTTGATACAATTTATTATTTTTCTCAAGTAATAATAATTAGAATAATTATAATTAGAGGTTATTAAAATTGATTAAATATAATTATTTTAATTTTATTTTATCATATTATTTTTGAGTTAATTTTTTTAACTTATCTCATTTTAACATTAACAATAAATTCTTTCTATTTTTTTATGATATTCTATTGTTTATATCTTAATTATCATGTTTGTCATTTACTCCTTAGTATTATTATTTTTTATTCATTTATTGTATATTTGTAGAATATTGATATGATTTAATTTTATATTTATAATTACTTCTTCTTATATTATGAATAGTAAATTGCTTCCTTTTTATGTAATTAATAAAATAATAATAATATAATTACATTAATTTATTGTACTAATGTATAATTTTTCTATCGTTATGTATTATAAATTAATAAAGTTTATATGTACTTATATTACTAAGACTTTATACAATATTAATTTATCATATGTTATATTTAATTAATTAGTTAATCATTTTAATAATTAATTAAAATGTATTCTCCTTTTAATTACTAACTTATTAATTGATCAATTTAAATTAAAATTATTTATTAGTGTAATAATTTATAATGCTAATATATAGTGACTCTAATTTTATGTGTTATAAATTGTCAAAATCTATGTATACTAATGTTATCTTAAGTTTTATACATCATGATATATTAAAAAAAATTATTTGATTTTTAAAATTAATCAATTATATTTTTTTATTTAGTTAAAATCTATCATTTAGAAAATTTTCACCATAATAATGCCACGATTTATAATTTTATTGTATAGGGTCTCTACTTTTATATGCTCTAAATCGTTAAGACTTTTGTGTAGTAAAGTTACTTTGAGTCATATGCAATATAAATTTATTAAATAAAGTTTTAATCTTTTTATTAAATAATTATCTTCTTTAATCAATTTAAATATATTTATTTTTTTTCATTAAATGAAATTAATTTCATATTTTTCTTTAGTCATATTTCTAATTTTGAAAAATTAAATAATCAAAAAATTCTTCATTTTATTATACAAATTTTTGCAACAATGTGTAATTTACATTGCTTTTGATCGTCTAATAAATTATAAAATATTTATATATAACTTACGCTATCTTAAATTCTCTTTCAGCATTCAACATGAATCATAATTTAAATATTTTATTTACAAATAAAAATATTTTTTAATAATTTACAATATAGTTATGTGATTTTCCTTCACTTTCTATATTATTTATTATAGAATACATGTATAACCGTGTTATCTTATATACTAAAGGTTATAATCTTATGAAAATAATTTTAATTTTAAATAAACTTTCTTTTACTAAATTTAATTTTAATCAACTAACTTCAAAATTTTTATGATAAAATTACGTAACTCTAAATTTTTTATTGCACTTGAAGACTCGTAAGAGCAAATACCAAACCTGTCAAGTCAAAACAATTTTTAAAAATATTTTTTTCTCTTTCCTAAGATATCAATTGATATTTCAATAAATAATTTTTTTTATTTAAAAATAAAATAGCAATAATTATTGTTTAGGAGTTAAATGAATGTTTTAAAAATTAAAACAAATTTACATAATTAATTTAAAATAACTATTATTTAAACAAATATTACAGGTACCGATATCTTTTATACACGTAAATGACTCCTAAATTCATTTTTAATTTCAAAGATCATAACGTTTTAAAATTTTTTTCAAAATTTTTCTTTAATAAATTTTGGTGACAACTATATATTTTATCTTACTATCATAATCACCTGATTGCAACAACGTCTTATCCTTCTTCAATTTGATTTGAAGTAGTGTTTATACAAAATAAAATTCAAACTTATGTTTTTAAAGTTCAATTTGAACATCAAATATTAACATATAATCACAAAAGTTCTCTAATTTATTTTAATTATTTAAAGATTAAATTGTCATCATCTTTTTTTTTTAAGAATTATTTTCACCGAGTAGAGCTTTTAAATTATAAACGGAAAGCCAAAATAGTGAAGTGTGACAATTTTGTATTTTTGCGGAAATAGTGAAAAAATTCATAGTAACACTTAGAAACTTTAATTTAATAAAAAAAATTATATAACTAATATCACAGCACCTTAATCTTTGAAAGATGAAATATAAATGGTTACTTTTATATTAGAATAAGAGGAACTAAAATTCAGCCATACAATTATATAGAAATTATTTTAAAAAATACAATTTTTATATTTTAATCTTAACAATTTATGATAAATAAAATAATTAATATTTATTTATTCCATTTATATAAGGTAGGAATTTAGAATTTCACCAACTCCAAGTTTCGGTCATTTAATTTATTTTGATCGAATGATGGATGGCTAGCAAGCTATAACTATCTTCATTTTGAATCAAACAAGTATTGCTAATACATTCTTTACTTCTAATTTATAGAATAAGGACACTATCTCCTAGATTTAAAAAAAGTTAGGAACTAAATTTTAAGTTTAGTCTCTATTTAAATTTTATTTACTTTTAGTCCTAATGTTTAATAAAAAAAACAGTGTGGTTTTAGTCCCTCGTTAGGAACTAAACATTATTTTTGCATTTTGTAAGGATACTAAAAAGAAAATAAAACTTAATTAGATGAAATAGATTAACAAACAAAACATTAATCAAAGTAGACTTTGGTCATTAGCCCCAAATTTTCATTTAAAAAATTAATGTTAGTTTGTTTGAGTTGAAAATGAGTCCACCAAGCATACCCTTAGAACCGGAAATGTTTGTTTGAACTAGATGACAAAGTAATTCAACATGGTGAATCATTACCATGTAAACTTAAAGCTGATTTAGCAATCAAGCCAAAAATTTATTATGAGCTAAATATAAATTTATTTAATTTTACCTAAAAACTATTTTAGAAGCTAAACTGAAAGTGACCACATAAAGAACTAGGGAAAGTTTTCCAAGTTCAAAAACTTTCACTACAAATGTGTCACTGAGAAGCCACTTGACTCCATGAGTCGTTGCAAGGTTCTGTCTTCAATATTTTCCTCTGGTGACCATAATCTGTTGACAACCTGAAACAGCAGCAAGAAAATTCATAGGCACGAATGATTTATATGTCACTTTGGACAGAACCCCTTTTGGCACACACTAGTAGTGATATTCAATTTCTACATCTTGTGAAAAAATCACAACCATTTCTTAGGTCATGACTCTAAGTTACCTAATTAAAAGAATAAAAGCATTATTAATTTATATTATACATTAAGAAAATTGAACATAGCAGTGGAAGGCATAGATTTCAACGAAAACATGACTGGTGAATATGATGACATACCCTAACTGCAAGGTAGTATCAGAAATTTCGTTGTCCTCTGAAGCACAATTGAAAAGGGGTTTTGAGCCGTTCATGGAAATTGTCCTATCCAAACAATTGAATTGAAGGAACTGTGTCTTTGTTTTATTTTGTACCTCCTCAAGCTGTTTATGATTAATGATTAAAGATGAGCAAGATACTATTTCTGGATATGAAAAGTTACTTTGATACATTTCACAGTTTTGACTTTTGAGTTGGGTTTGATTCTTACTTGTTTGCGCAGAACTTCATTCTCCAGCACTGTCTTTTGCTCCTGCAGATATATTGGAAAACTTATTAAGTTATCAATTAGAAAAGAAAGGTCCATTTGAAATTCTCTTACATTAAGACCTGTTAGTTTCTACAATCATGAAGAAAGAATGACCTGAAGAAGAATGTAAATTAACCTCTTAAAATTATTCGTATAACTTTAGGCTAAGGTGGGTATAAAATTACCAAAAATATTGCCTCTTTACTAGTCAGTATTTTGCTAGTTGGGACCATGCACATATCTAAAGTATTTCAAGTCAATGGGGATAGTGTTTCGAATCCATTATTTTTCACATCTATTTTCTTTTAGAATGAAAATAAGATGAAAAATGCAAGTGGAACCATGTACCTGTAACCTGGACCTCCTAAGCTGTTCTACAAGTACTTGTTCCTGCAACGTTATAGTTAGAGTGAATAGGTTAATGACGGCAAATCCATATATTATTAGTAAGCTTTGAACTGAAGAAATGATTGAATTTGGCAATTGAAATAGATGTCAGAAATAAAAAAGAAAGGACCTATTTACAATCTAATTTTCAACTGAATGCAAGGTTGACCACCTTTTCGAATATACATTATAAGGAAAAAACATCAATATGGTCAATATCACTTAAAAGGATCGAAATCTGGCCATGTAGTTTTTCAGATTAGTATGAGCTTCATGTCAAAGTTTCTTTTTGTTCCAGAAATACAAAGGTTAATTACTTATAGCAGAAAAGGAACATAGAAAATCCTGTAAGGAAATATGTCATCAAAATAATACAATCAATTACATCACTATTGATCATTGTTCTTTGTACCTTCTTGTCTTTGACAGATAGTATCCCTTCACTCAGTTGATTTTCTAGGTGCTGCAGTTCTTTAAGGCTCAATCCATCGAGCTCCTTACCCATCATTCTCCTATACACAACATGAAAATATTATCAGAACAAAATCTGGTCTAAGATTTTGAGGAGTAATAAGCACAAAAGGTAATTAGAAAATATGTAAAATTCATCGGGTAGATATTTTCTTGGCCCATTCATTAAGGTAACTAATGCAGTCAACTATTTCTGTTATGTATGATAGCATTACTGATTGCTGATATGAAGAGTCGGTGTCACTTACACATATGCTGAACGAAGCTTTGTTATTTCATCCTTCAGAAGCTTAGTATCAGGCTCCATAACCTATTCAAGAGTAGGTAATAATAACACTTCAAACTATATACATACAAAGAGAAACTCAAAAGGGATGAGGGTTGATTAAAGAAAATGTGATGTTTTAAGATATTAGAGGGACTGTTTCAAATACATCTGCTGGGGGCTCATCAATAGGTTCCTCTGCACAATCTGATTCCATGCCTTTGCTGTACCTTGAAAGGGTATGCTCCATGCTTTATGAATGAAATAAACTTCATTGGATCAGAAGAAAATAAAGGCCTCAAATGAACCATATTAACAGTTCAAGAAAAGTGAAAGCATTGGAAAGTTACTAAAAAAATAGCATCAAAGTAAAATCAAATTTGATGGAATCAAATCTTTTATCTCTTTCCTATCCAATCCTTTCTTTACATTTAAAAACTGACAACAAAGTTTAAAAAGAAAAAAATGAAGAGATAGGTTTTATTTTTTCCATTGTTGGGTTTAACTTAATTTTGAAGAAATAAGTACTTGTTTTAGAAGCACTCTCAGGCAGCTTAAAAAACGATTATTTCCTCAAAATAATTTTGTCTAAACACAAATCCTGATGTGGTGGCTCCTAATACGGCACTTTTTGGCAGTAGGAATCTAGAATGGCACAAGGTAACCTGATTCTGTAATATGAGATTCTTCATCTCACCAAACTATATACATATACACAATACACTTTCAATATTAGATTCTTCATTGATTTCGTACGCATAAAATGCAGGTAGTATAGTTCTTAATTCTTATGTCTGCCCCCAACAACAACTTTCTCCACTACAGAAAGGATAATTAATTTCCTCTGACAAGATTTCTATTCATTTCATCATTCACATCCAGGGTTCCTCTTTCCACAAAGATAATTCACCTTACAAAAATAAACCCTACAAAAATCTCAATTCAAAATTTGAATGTTAAACCCCTCCACATTTTTTTCCCTTCAATCAAAACCATTATTCCCCTTTATATATACTTTAAAAATAAAGAACAGTAATTCTGTTACTTGGTCCACAAGATTTCAACAGAGCTATCCTTCAAGTACCAAAACACCAAACACTTCCTTCCTAAAAATAAAAAACCAATTACACATAACAACAAGACCACCTCATATCCCAGAAACCTAAAAAAAAAGTATGCTTGTGTGTGAAAGGTTTCAAATTTCAACAAAAGGCTTCAAAGGGTAGCAGCAAAAGCACCTTGTGTTAGAAAACTCATAAAGCTTGCCAGTGCTAGAGAATATGATAACAGCAACCTCAGCATCACACAAAACAGACAACTCTTTGGCTTTCTTCAGCAACCCATTTCTCCTCTTGGAAAAGGTAACCTGTCTGCTGTTCAAATTCTCAATCTTTTTTATCTCAATCTTCCCCCTACCCATGTTTTTCTCTCACGAAGTTCCTTTTTTTTTTTTTCTTTTGTTTTTTATGTTTCTTCACCAAACACTGAACCCACCAGCATTCAGAATCAGAGAGGCACAAAAGAAGAACCCTCAAAGAAGGTTGTTTATTTATACGAAGAGGCGCAACAGCAGCACACCAAAAAAAACACAACTATTTTGGAAAGGATTAGCATTCTGCAGATACCACCAAGGATGGAAAGAGTGACCAAAATTAGGACTAAGAGGGAAAGGTGACAGATGGATTACTATGTGTGGCAATGATCCTAATATGGTATACTATTTACTTGGGGAGTAGGTAATCGCCACTTTAGGAACGTTTCTCTAATACGATGTTGTTTCATTAATGTTCGGCTTCGGAGGATACTAGGAAAGGAATTCCAAGCTGCCATTTTTTTAATCTACATTTCTATTCTTTTTAATATTATTAATAATAATAATAATTTTGAACCAAAATAGTGGTTAGGTACGTGGGTAATATCTATTTTGAGATGGGGATCTCAGATTTAACCTTTGATATTGTTTTGATTTGTATTTCTAATAGTTGATACTGTTTTTCTTTGAATTTAAATTAACGTAATAATGGGTTTTTTTTCAATCGGTACTAATGGATAAAAAAAGGTTTTATGGTAACATTTAGTAGTCTATTGTCTTCAATAAGTTTGACATTTTATATAACTATCTTTTTGGTAGATTTTATATAATTATATTAGTATGAATATTTTATTATTAATATAAATTTAAATAAAAAGTTATTGAATAAAATATTTAAAAAAAATAAGTTTGTGCAATTACTTATTCAATTACAATAGCAGTGATTAAAATAAATTTTCTTCACTATTTTTAAGGTGATTAAAAGGTTACATCTCAAGTTACACGCTCTAGAAATATTATATATATATGGTTACCATATTAGTATTTACCTGGACTGGTAATTCAAGCAAAGTTTGGTTTCTTATTTAAACTCAGAAAGACTTTTCCAAATAGAAAACTTGATCATATTTGACAATTATTTGACAATGAGTATTGTTCTTACTATTCTATTAAAAGTAGGAAGACATCACAACTTTTTTTGGTCGTTGTCAATTAAAGAAATATGCTATTTGGAGAGTGTTTTTCCTAAAATGCCATGGATGGACTATTTGTTTGGTTATACAAATTTATAATTTATATAGGAATTTATAGTGTTTTTTCAATAAATTAATAGAATTTTTTTATGAATAAATAATGGAAAAAATGTTATATATCTTATTATTTCAATGTACAAAACATCTAGATAAAAATGACACTCTTTTGAAGACAACAATTTTTTTAAAAGATAAAAATTAATTATTACTTCTTAAAAGACATGTATCATTTTTTTTCTATAAAATACAAGGATTTGTGAGTTTTTAAAAAATTCAAAGTTATTATAAATAACATTCAATCTATTGAAAGTTAGTTTTAAATTTTTTTAACCTTTTAAATTATTAAAACTTATATAAGATAACTTTAATACTTCTTTCTTAGCTCTTTGACACATTCAGTTAATTGTTCTATTATTAATTTCATTAAATAACTCTAATTTAATCTTATCCTTACGAAATATAAGCTTTTAATAATAAATTTTAATTTAAACTTAATTTTATCAAATAAAACTCATTATCTTTTAGATCTTAAAACTAATTAATAAATACAGTCTATTTTTATTATTCAATAACAACGTTCAACTCATCCTTTATTGGATTTATTTTTTTTATAGCACAGAAAAGAGTAAATTACTTATAACAAAAATGAAGAGAAAAAATTGACGAATCTCTCTTTCCTCTTTGCAGTTAGTTACTTGAAGCTTTCTTTTACATGTAATGTGTTGTTTACCAGTTTTATCTTGTTTCAGTAGTTGCATCATTTGTCGGTTGAAGGTTCAGATTCAAGAGAAAATAGAAGGAAAGAAATAAGATTAAAAAAACGTAAGAGAGTGAAAAAATAAAGTAAAAAACATTCAATATTCATATGAATTGAAATAAAAAGAAAAAATATTTAAAAATATTTGAAAAATAATAGCGTAAAAAAATAACTGAATTGTATTAAAATTTAAAATTGAGTTTAAGAATTTATTTTTTTTACTTAAATTATTTTCTTGGTAAAAAAGTTATTTTAATTTTTATATATTTTAATATTTTTAAAAAATAAATTATTAAAAAAAACTCAATCCATAACCCTTTCTTTCCTTTTTATTTCTTTTGGTGAGGAAAAAAAATGTACTTAATATGGTACTTGTAAATTTGAAAGTATATTTATATCATTTTTAGATTAATAGCTGTGATTTTTTTATTATTTCAAAAATTAAAAGATATTAATGTTTATTTTAACTAAATTATTAACGTTAAAAATTGCTCCACAGTTTTAAGAGAATACGAACCCTCTCAATTAGAGAGTTACCATAGATTTTATAAAAAAAAATATATATTTTTTATCTTCCACATTTTTTTCTCTTTTTATTTCCAACTGAACAAAGTCTTTAATATTTACATAAGAGTAAGTATGTCTGACTTTCAATATTTTTAATAAAAAATAAAGTAATACAAAAAAAAATACAACTAACTAATTTTAATTATAATATTTTATAAAATAATAATTATAATTTGACTTTTATTTTCTTATATAAAATAAATAATTGTGTACAAGAAGAAAAAAATATTAGATAGATCTAGTTGTATATACGAAGTATCATTTGAACGTCAAAATTTTAAAATTTCAGTTTGCAATGTTAGAAATTCTATTAAAGAGAGTAAGCACAATTTGAGGCAAAACTTCTATCCTTATATTTCAACGAGAAGTAAAAAATTTTAATTTTTAATTTAAGTCTCTCTTTGAAAAAAACATTTTCAATTTAACATTTTTTTATTTTTTGTATTATTTTAAAAATACTTTTTTAATAATTAAGTGATAATATACCCAAAAAAAATAACAGACAAAAATAACATACAATGTGATTGATTTTTCCGATTATTTAATTTAATTTTCAAATACGTATAACTATTTATTTTATATAAAAATTAAAAATTAAATTTCAACTATTTTAATTTATAAAAATTTAATATTAATATAAAAAGGCGTATATATGAATTTCTATTTTATTAAAAAAATGACATAGAAAGTTAGATAAATGAACCTAATTAATTATCATTAACTTATTATTGTTGGCTCTAAAAGCTTGTATCAACTCCAATAAATTCAACTATATGATTCTTACAGGCTCAAACTATGACATCCCATTTAACTAAACATATGTTGAAACGGTCAAGATCTCTTGTTGATTATCATAGGAGTCATTACTCACTAATACAATCCTTATCACTCAAAGATATAAAAATTGTCACCAAATTAATGTCTAAGTTAACATTTATTCTTTTTATTTATCATACATGCTTTACCAATGTAAAACTCAGTGACAACCAATTTGCCTTCAAAACATTGCTATTTTGACATTCTTTATCACTTTCTTTAAATAAAAAATTATGTAAAAATATATATTAAATTTGTTAAATTAATTGAATAAATTTTAATGGTGCGTTTAAGATGGGCATCTAATAGCTTTTCAAATCTCAAGAGCATGAAAGTAAACACTTTACAAAATTCTAAAAAAACTAAAAATAGATAGATTTTTTTAGTGTATTGGGTAAGTAGATAAAAAGTAGTTTAAAAACCTAAAATGACCCTCGCTCAGGAAAAAATATCAGAAAAAGCCTAGAATGACTACTGTATGGTGTTCTTGCCCAAGCAAGATATGTCTCGCCCATTCGAGAGTTTCCTCACTCAAGTGAGAGCGCACGAGCGAATTGAGAGGTATATACAGAATTTTCGGTATGAAAACTTTCATTTTTTATTTCAAGTCACGTTCTATCTTCATTTTCTTTGAACTCTCACTTCTCTTTTTCAAAGAAACCTCCTTCAAAGTCTGATTGTTACTCAAATCCAAACTTGGATGTTTAATCTAAGCAACTACAAGAAAAACTTATGTTTTGAATAATAGTATTCATCAATCTCTCCCTAAATCTTCATTTAGAAGTAAGGAGAACTCTATTTTATCATTTTATTAAAGTGTATACTTTGCGCTCATGGGAGCATTACTACATAATTATTGTATGAGAATATATGCTTGAATAATAATATTTGTGAGGGAAAGTTGATGATATATGTTTGATTGATTGGTTTGTGTGACCAGGCTATGTTTATGTGAAATATGTGTTGAGAATCAAGTGTAGAGATATTATGATAAAGCATGATATTATAGATGAATAACAAATGATTATGTATATTAAAAGTGTCAGATGTGCTATTGTATTTATTGGATGGGAATGACTATATTGTATTGGTAATACATGTTTAGAAACGCTTTGAATAGATACGATTTTGTAAATAAAGAATATATGATTAGTATAAAATATTAATGACACTAGTGTGAAGGACATGATTATTGAAATTATATTTTTATGCTATCAATAAAAAGACTTAGTCTGGAAGTGCTTTATTAAACACAATCTTGTGATTGCATAATGAAAGGAGTATGGAATAAGTATAAAGTGTTGAATATGGAATGAATGTAAAGTGCTGAATGGAACTAAGTGTGAATAGTTACAAAGATACACTGAGAGTATAGAGTCTGGAGACGATGTGAAAATCTGAGAGAAACGTAAGGTGGTGAGCAACATTCACGTATGTGTACACATTTTCTAAGAACGAACGTATCACATGATCTCATACTCATTTTCTGACTAGACTCCTGACTATACCTTTGCTAAGGGACTTGTTATTGTATACGTTATATTCATGTGCATAGGCTAATCAGTGACTATTTACCTAGCTGTATAAGACTTGAAGAAATACTAAAGGCATCGTATGTCTGTGATCATAGTGCATTGGAAGTGTGTAGTTGAAAGAAAGAAGTGGTGAATTGTAATAATATATATATGTTAGTGTGAAAAGTGCTGATTTTTTATTGTGTGATTGTTGCAATAATATTTCTTTTTATTCCATGATAATAAACATGTTGTAATGAAATGGTGTTATATTTAAATGGTAAGATAAATGTTTATTCTT